CCCCGCCTAGCACGCCTCCTCCTCGGCGCCACGTCCTCCTCTTCCTCCTCCGAAGAGGAGGTGGCGGGGGGGAACGGTGCTACCTCCGCCTCCCCCCTCCTAACTCTTTCGGCGGCCTCCTTCTGCCCCATTACAGAGGAGCAGAAGGAGACCACTTCCTCCCAGGCCTCTTTGCTCCCGACCATAGCTTTGACTACGGCCGGGAGCGAGAGGTCGCCGCCAACCACTGCGATCAGGACACCGCGATCGGCAGCCTACGCCTGGCATTCGGCCAGGGTGTGCTGCGCGGTGTCCCGATCGGCCGCACAGTGGTGGCAATGCGTCGTACGCTCTTTACCTATGCGACACAGGTACTCACCGAAGCAGCCGTGCCCGGTGAGCACCTGTGTCAGGTGGAAGTTCAACCCGCCATGGCCCCTGTCCACCCATTCGAGGAGACAGGGGCGGATGGCCTCGATGGTCCGCCTGCCCGGCACGTTGGGCCCCCCGAGTTGCCTTTTCCAGCGTCGGAGGGCCCTGCGCCGGGCCAGGGCTCGGATCCGTCCTATGGTCCCAGCCGACAGAGCTTCACCCTCATTGCGGAGCCTCCTTAGGCGGGTGTACGTGTCAGCGTACATCCTAGCAAGGAGGTCCGCAGGGATCATGCCGGCCAGGACCGTAGCGGCTGCATGCGACACGGTCCGATACGCGCAGGTGAGACGGTTGGCCATGACGCGCTGGGCGCTATTAACTAGCGCCCGTATGCGACGACTGGCCCCTATCTCACCCGCCCACACTGGGGCCCCGTAAAGGGCCATTGAGTGGACCGTGTTGGCATACAGCCGCCTCACCATTGTCTTTGGACCACCGAGGTTGGGCAGGAGACAGGCAAGCGCGCCCGCCATCCTGCCCAGCTTGGGGCTGAGTCGACTAAAGTGTTCGACAAAGCCCTAAGTGCCATCCAGGGTGAGGCCCAAGTACTTCAGCGCGGGCCTCACCACAACGCGGGTGTCTTCCACCATGATGTGGGCCTGTGGGGGTGGCCCCTCGGACGGAGCGTGCATGAACAACTCTTCCGTCTTATTGGGAGCCACCCTTAGGCCCAGCGCCCGAATCGAGCGTACGACGCATTCGACGGCCACGTTAGCTTGGGCCGTCGCTTCCCCCCAGTCGGTGCCCCCGGACAGCACTAGCGTGTCATCTGCATAGCAGACGACTGTGCTGCCCAGGGGAAGGGCTGTCCTAAGGACGCGGTCGTAGGCGAGGTCCCACAACAGGGGCCCCAAGACGGACTCCTGCGGGACCCCGCACCGCATGCCCCTTCTGCGCTGGAGTCCGTCGCGATCGACGAACTCCAGAGTCCTCTCTCGGAAATAGGCCCGGACAATATGGACCAGGTAGAGGGGAAAGCGGTGATACCGCATCGCCTCCTCTACCCTGTCCCAGGGGAGGGAGTTGAAGGCATTCGTAATATCTAACGAAACTGCCGCAACTACCCTCCCCTCCTTCATCTCGGCCTCCGCGAAGGCCCTCACACGGAGGATTGCGTCCACCGTGGAGCGACCAACGCGGAAGCCAAATTGAGCTTCGCTCAAGTCCGGACCCTCCCGAGAGAGGTGCCGGACGAGGCGGGCCACCACTATTCTTTCAAAGAATTTACCCACCTCGTCCAATAGGCAAATCGGCCTATATGCGGAAGGGGCGTCTAGGGGCGGCCCACTTTTGGTATGAAGACCAGCCCCGCCCTTTTCCACCGACTGGGGAATGTGCCCGTCCTGAGGCACCCGGTGAAAAGGTGTCTCAGGCGGGCCCCGACATCGGCCAAGACCAGGGCCCACGCTCGGCCCGGGACCCCGTCCGGCCCGGGGGCTTTCTTCGCCCCGCCGAGCCGGCGGGCCGCCCGAGTCAGTTCGTCCCTGGACACCTCCCACTCCTCGTTCCAGTCCGGCGGGGGACCCTCGTATGGAAGGGGTGGTGGCCCCTGATCCGGGAAGAGGGCCCCAACCACATTGTCGAGGAGTGGGGGTTCAAGATTCTCTGTGACCGGGGGCGCCCAGGGTCTCAGTCTTTGCAGGACTATCCTGTACGGGCGCCCTCAAGGGTCTTTGTCCAGGGACTTGAGCGATTCCTCCCAAGCCCTGGCCTTGGCCTTCCTGATAGCTACGCGCAGGGTTGTCCGTGCGGCTCGGAAAGCCCTGCGCGCCCTCGTCGCCTCGGCGACGTTCCCCGCCCTTCTGGTCCGCTGCATCCGTCTTCTAGCTTGGACGGAGGAGCGCCTGAGTTCGGCTATCTCCTCCGTCCACCAGTATGCGGACCTGAAGGGCGTGGGGCGAACCCGGGGCATGGAGGCGTCACACGCCCTCTCCATATCTGCCCCGAGTTCCTCCGCCTCTTCCTCCACGTCGTCCGGGGACAGAATGGGTCGAGGGGGATCGTCCCCCCGAGCCCACTCCGCCGCGGCGATGGACGCCTTCAGGGCGTCCCCGTCCATTTTCCGGAGGGCCCATTTGCCGGGTCGCCCTCGCTCCCTTTCTCGGCGGCGCCTGAGCACCTCGGGGGGAATGGCGGAGAGGGTCACCTCTATGTACAGGTGATCGGACCCCGTGTCCACCCCCTCCGCCACCTTCCAGCCCCCCACCGCGCGCGCCGCAGGGCCATTGACCCAGGTAAGGCCGATGATGGATTCGTCCTGCGGACGCACGCAGGTGCTCACCGAGCCTTCGTTTAATATGCGAAGGCCCGATCTTTATCAAAATAAATGGTAATAAAAAGTTGCAAAACAATTAATAATAGAGTAACAACAGATATCAACGACATAGGTGATCGTGAAAATGCACACTATATGCCCGCATTGGCCAGTAAATTATTGGAGGATATGAAATTCTTTCCCTTATGGTCTTGCGTTTGTCGCGACAAGTTCGGTTACGGAAGAATCCCAGCAAGTAGTGCATCGGTCGAAGGAGAATTTAATATAATAAAGAACATATTTTTGAGAAACGAGACCACACCAATGCGGGCTGACGATTTCGTAGAAAAACAT